TTAACATCCTATCTCTGCAAAGATAGATTCCCATAGTTTTTTCTAAATATTTTAGTTAATTATTGTTATATAGGGAATATCTAAGTTAAATAAAACTGTAATGAAATTACAGACCCCATGGTTACCTCATGGTACTTTACCATAATAACAAAGCCCAGTAACTATTAAAAGTAAAATTATTGTCTGTCTGTCCCCTTCAATCTCAGAAACATTTGAATCATATCTTTCAATAAAATTTTACAAAAGCTGCATAGTAATAATTGTTAAGCATGTATCTCTGGTAGATCAAATTATCCAGAAATAGAATTAGCTTATGTTAAAAACTAGAGCGACTTAAACGACCGAGAGGAGTCTCGTGCGAATGCTAGTAAAAAATATATTATCCACTCACTTATATTCAATCCTTTGCAAAATAAAAGCCTACTTTAACCAGATTTATAAGTTAGCATGCAAAACGCGAGCCGCCGTGCGAAAATAGAAATGGAGTAAATAAACACGATCGTGAGCTTCTTCCCGGTACTCTTCACACGGCAGATAATTCACGCTAATCTGTGATCTCCTCGAAACGGTGAGATTATGTGACAATTTATGTGAAACCACCTCGCGCGGTCCGCAGCATACCTAATAGGGTCTCGAATATAATTATACTTTCTCACATTATATTTAACTGTCACTATGGTCTATCGGTTATATATCTGTACGGTTGCAGATCCCGAGGTCCAAGGTTCGAGTGCTAGATTGAGTCAAGTGTTTATCTGTTGAGAAACCTAACAAGTTTTGGAAAGATAAAGTTAGCCAACCCCCGTACTTAGCCAACACGGTAGACTATAACTCCACACATTGAACGAGGGCTTGTGCCCAGCAGTGGGACGTTAAAAAGGGCTGAATATATACATACATACCCCCAGAACTTCTTCCATCTTGCATCCATACCATAGGACTTTGAGAGGGAATAAAGAGTTCACTTGTATTTGTGCCCACACCTTTGCTCTACATTATTATCTGTTGTGCACATGGCTAGTCTCAATGTAACCGGCCGCGTACATTAATGTGTATTTAAATTTTGTCACTCCTTTTCATCTCTTGCGGGTTGAATTTTAAAAAGCATTATTTACTATAGGTATGTAGTTGGAGTGTTGATGAATCAGACGTATGATAGTGTTGTAGTCGAGTATATTTCGTAATCCTACGTAAGGTAGGCCAACTTTGTTATGTACTCGTACTTGTCACAATTTACACCATGAGCTTTACGTTTATTATAGATAATGTTCATCCGCTGCTTCGCTCATGTAATAAATCAATGTAATAAGGGATGGTGTTTTATAAAACAAAGATATTTGTTTTCAAAACTGACGTTTTTAATATAATAAATTTTTTATGCTATATTTGTTTCTACAAACAAAAAACTCCAACCGAATTCCATCAAAGATTATTCCAATATAAACATATAAAACTAAACACTCAGTTTGTAATATCTAAATTATCACATATCATCATAATCATCTTAATGAGATGTGTTTTTAATTTTTAAAATTACAAACGCAGTTTAGTTCTATTTACATATGTAACTGTATGTAAATATATCGATAGATTAGATACACGTTTAAAAAGGAAATACTTTACGTGTTTTTTGGGAACATTAAGAGATTAGTGACACACTAACGTGGTTTTTGAATCGTAAAATTAGAACATAATGGTCAGTATTTAGATTTAACGATTAGAATCTTTTAATTGACCAATTGAGTTAATTAGGCAATATATCCGACATAATCGCTTTTCAAAAATCCCTACAACTTAACGGTGTTAGAAAAATTATTTCAACACAACAGCTTATAATAAATTAAATCGGTACTACAATAGAAAAATAGGTGGATGAAATAAAATAGCGCAGAACACGTGTACACTCCCACAATCCCACGTAGTGTATTTGCGTGATATTGTACCATTAGAGAAGATATGGCACTAATGTGTGAACTGGATGATGGAACACCGTGTCCAATCTTGTTACAAGCTTTTATTTTCTAATAGGATTATTTAAATGATTCATTACATACTTAAAATCATTTTGGGAGATATTTATCTTAATATTGATTATAATATCAAATTTCCAGAGTTTTGACTGATGTAGCAGATAATAGATTTAGGATTGGTACATGCATACATTCTAGACATTTTCGTCTACATATGTATGTTTAAATACTAGCAGAACCCGCTTCTTCGCTCGCGCTAAAACTCATCCTCTATTTTACCCCCATATGAATTTTGAAAAATGCTTAAACTCGTATTTATTTAGTTGTATTGAAGAGCATTAATACCAAGTTTAAAGTAATTCTGATCACACATTTTTTTTTGGGTTGTATTATAACGTGCTTTCCCGTGGGATTAAGATAATCTCACGCAGTAAAAAGTAGCCTTTGTCACTCTCCAGCCCTCCAACTATCTCCACACAAAAAATCACGCCAATCTGTTAATCCATTGCGACGTGAAAGAAGGACAAACAAACAAACAAACAAACAAACAAACAATCAATCAAACAAACAAACAAACAAACAAACAAACAAACAAACAAACAAACAAACAAACAAACAAACAAACAAACACTTTCACATTTATAAGATTAGTATGGATATTATTATCGAAGTATGGATACTAAAAGCAAACTTTATAATGTTACATCGACAACGTATGTTACAACACCTTAAATTCAAAAAATAATAAATGATTACCAGCAAATTTCCCACAATATATTTACTATGGGATTTCTTTTCAACAACATTTATTTAAATGCTAATAATTACGTTAAGTAGTATGCTTTGTAGTTGCGACAGAATGGTAGAATAATCAATTTTTTCTATAAAAATAACAATTTTGTTTCTTAAAATATATTTTTACACTTTTCTTATTAAATATGTATCATAACCTAAATGAGATAGTCATTTGTTGCATTCAGCCCTTTTTAACATCCCACTGCTGGGATCGGAGCTCTCTTCAATACGAGGAGCATCAGAATATAGTTGATAGTCCACCACGCTTGCCAAATGCGGGCGGACTGAGCATGTCTTCCGAAAACTTGCTAGGTTCTTTAAGACATGCAGGTTTCCTCGCGATGTTTTCGTTCACCGTAAGACAAGGGGTAATCATGTCGGAAATGATTCGCACATGAAAATATCTGAGGTGCGAGACCTGGGATTTGAACCCGTATCGCTCGGTTTCCCAAACGAGTGTGTTACAACTGGGCTACCACTGCCTGAGATAGTCACTTATTATTTAATAAAACTCAAAATTCTTGGTATATATTATGTACATACATACATACATTATACTATAAAACAATACTCGGTGGTATTTCGTTGTTTTACAACAAGTACCTGTTAGTTTACCAATGTGTGTTACAGGGGGTGGCAGCCGGCAGGGCTCTAGAGGGTGTGTGACAAATTACATTACAATTGAATCGGACGTGCCCTATCGCTCGCCCTCTGCCATTCTAGATGTTGATACGTACTTTATTACAAAGAACTCTATGGGAATTGGTCTTTTGTTTACCATTGTTTTGTTCTGTCTGCATATTTCTTGTGAATGATTTTGTAGAGTTCTAGTTTTAATTTGTATTCGGTGGTTTTCAGTGCTTCATTGCCAAACTCATATTTCTTTCTGTGTAACTGTCCCCGTGGTATCTTTTCTCACTTAAACTGCTTAACTGATTTCGATGAAATAAACATAGATTGTATAAGTTACCATTTATTCGCCACGCTTAGCATATTTAAGGTGCCGTTAACAAAACCTAGTATATTTATAAATGCTTTTTGTTTAAATATCTTACTTTTAAGTATATAATATTATTTTTATAAGCTCTCCTGTCTTCTGAAGATAAAATAAAAGTGATAAATTAGTTTAATTCGAATTCCAACTAGAAAATAGTTAATGCTAATAACAAATATTGTAACCGTAATTGGAGACCCCCAGTTTATAATGTGTCACGTAGTGCCCTATCATCTCGTGCACTCAGCATCCTTCCCTCTAGGGACCTAATACGTACAAATAGACAAACAAATCACTCTACTCGCTATTGTATGTGTTATTATAGAGATTTTGTTTGCAGCGATTAGGGAATAATTGATGATGTTTCATCACGAACATGTATGTACCTATATGTTTATAGAATGTTATATGCGATTTTTATAGTATTAATGGAAAATAGTAATCTTAAAGATGCTTTTGACTTATTAATTCCTTCGCTACATAACCATAATATTTTGAATACACTATAAATCTATACTTATATTATAAAGAGGCAGAGTATGTTTGTTTGGCTGTTTGAAAGCGTTAATCTCAGGTACTAACTCATCCGATTTGCAAAATGATTTTTGCATTAGAAAGCCCGTTTATTGAAGAAGGCTAGAGGTTATATATCATTATGCTACTACCCAAGAGTGCGGAGTAGTAATCATAAATGTCAACAAATTGTGCAGACTTCAATACATTATTGTAAAACTATTGCTTATAATCGAACCAATTTAACGCGGGGAAAACCGCGGAGCACAGCTACTTATTTATATGTATATCAGCACTATAAATTTACGTCTAAAACCTAAATAAATAATTTTTAATCATTAATAATTTTAAAGAAACCTACTATTTTTAACTTTCTCATGATCATTCATAGCTTAAATCATATAAAACATTATTTTTCCATAACAATCAATTAAAAATGAAAGATGTTGTCACCTTTCATAGTTTACTGTCGGAAGTGAAAGCTATAACCAAACTTGGACGGCAATTATTTAAATGAACCAAAATAAACTTAACACTACATTAAGACATTAAAATTTACACAAAAAATGAATAAACTATTCTAATTAGGTCATCCCAAAGTACTTTACAAGGGCCGTATATAAATAAATTAAGTGCTAACGAAGACTTTACGACGTCCTTTCATTTACGACGCGCCATACGAATGGACTTATTTTAGATTTTATTCGATCCACCATTAGCTTTATAAAATGTTTATGTTAATAATCGAGGTACGATTACCTGTTGATTAAATTGTAGTCGCGTAACAAACCTCGGCTGTTTTGTTTAGATCTAAATAAACGCGGCAGCGTGAAAAAATATTTAAGTAAATTAAATTGTTTTTAGTTAGAATGGAAACCTGGAGCTTGTTTGAGCAATTGTTTTTCCAAATAAGTTTTCACCCGAGGCGCTCTTACTGTATTAGCTGTAGCTTTACTATTAATATGTTTCTAGAATCAATCCATTATTTATGCAGTTAATCACCTAAACAGCAAGTTTTTACCTCTTCCATGATAAAGTATAGGTACAATAAGCACTTGCTCATGACCTGTATGTACATATACTGATCTTTTTCGATTAATATCAGTCATAAGTAATGTAGGATTACTTACATAATTATAAAAATATGTATATTTTCAGGTCCTAAAATACTGCGAGCACCTGCACGGCAAATGGTATTTCAGCGAGATCCGCGCTATCTTCTCGCGCCGCTACTTGCTGCAGAGCATCGCTATCGAAATGTTCCTGGCCAGTCGAAGTATGTTCGTCATTTTATATTAGTTATATAAAATAAGACTAACTAAATTGTTTTAAAATAAATAATCTACTACTAAGACATAACTGAGCGCTACACTGCGATCGTTGTGTTTTTGTATTCAGCCCTTTTTAACGTCCCACTGCTGGGCACGGGCTTTTCTTTAGTACGAGGGATACCAGAATGAAAAAATCTTTTATACTTATAAAGTGGAATTAACAGAGTACTGTTAAGAATTTTTAAACACCTTCCATAACCTATTTAAGACAAGTATCTATTAAAATTATGTACTTGTTATGTTATTGAGAGGTGTTCACTGTTTACGAACGTCGCGCATTGTTTCACTTAGAGAGTTTATGTTAAACATATTACCTTTCTAAGTTAAGTCAGTGTACATATTGGCCCCGTGCAGAAATCGAACCTCCTTACTCTGACATTGCCAATTATTTTTATGCTGTTACTATAAATAATTATTGTAGAAAAAAGCGTAGAAATAGGTAAATATGTTCTTCCTAGCCCTAACTGCATTCTACGCTGGAAAAAATGGTGGTTTTAAAAATTTCTTTTAAACTTTCCCAAATGTAATTACGTACATATTATAATATATTTAGATAAAGGGGCATAACACCTGCCATATATTTAGATAAGTAGGAGAAAATCGTCTCTTACTAACCTATAAGAGTTTCGCTTCACGTTTCTAAGAAATGCTTTATATTATTGTTCTTTTACATATTTTATTGAATGAATTAACTATTTTTTTCAGCGTCCATATTCTTCGCGTTCCCCGACCAGGCGACCGTCAAGAAGGTAATCAAGGCGTTACCTAGAGTGGGCGTGGGAATCAAATACGGCATCCCGCAGACCAGGTCAGTGCTAGTTTAGTTTATAAATTCTATTATAAAATTAATATTTATATAATTTACAGGCGTGTTCTATCAGAATAAATTTTAGCTTCCTAATTTACATATTATACATTATATAAAGATTTCTATGTAAAACAATTTAAAAAGAAAATTAACTAAATGTTAGTTAATTAAAACTCATTTTCAATTAAAAGAGATATATTTAAAAATGTTGAAGAGTTAAAGTAAAATTTTATAACGTTCACTAGTAAGAGGGAATAGTGCCATCTTTGAACATGAGTAAGCAATAAAAGGCTTGACCGCGGAGGTCGCGTTTCGGATCACGAATTCTTTTATCGATTCGTTTTAGTTCTTAATGTTGTCGTCAGATGGCGTTAGTATTAAAAGATAGTATTATAGAGAAATCTGATATATTTTTTTTTTGTTATCTGAACAAATTTTACTGAATGTCTTATTTATTTGGTAAAGAAAATTCCTCATTTATTAGGCAACAAGTTTTTGGTTAAGATAGTTTAAAACAATCTTTTTTACGTAATTGTGCTCTAAAATTCGGTAGTTATATCCAACTAGCGACTTATCCTAGCTTCGCTCGGGTTTGTCACAGGTGAAAAACAAAAACAAATCTCATCCCACGGAGATCCATTTTTCCGAGATAAGAAGTAACTTCTATGCTATTTTCAAACTATAATCTATCTCTGTGCTAAATTTGATCCAGGTCCGTTCAGCCGTTTTGGCGTGATTGAGTAACAAACGTCCATCCATCCAAACTTTCGCATTTATAATATTTATGGAATTCACATCGGACTTATTGCTTGAGAAGTAACTTTATTTTATTTAAGGGATTATAAACCATTATTTTATTATTGGATATATTTGAATAAAATTTTAAACAAATTTATTAAATCGAAAAGGAATTATAAATGAGAACAACAAAATTGAAAAATCAACACTATAATTTTACACAAAAACATACAAAATACATCACAGCATAAACATGTAATAATAATAATAAATAAATATATTAATTATTGGTATATAAGTAAACAATAAAATACATCTTTATTAAAGACATTTTTTTCAAACATACATAAATATTAGCTGACATGTTTTAAACTTATTTTTGAAAAATCTTGTTTCCTATGGTTCGAACGTAATGATATAAAAGTTAAATCAGAGTGTTAGAGAAAATTCTGTACCAAGTATTTTAATACACTAGAACTGACCAAATTAAATATTACAAAATCTGCTCGATAGCTTCTACGAATTATTATCATAGTAATATTACTAACGTGAAAGCTTAGACTAATGTTAAAATTTGTCAACTTTTCAGCTCTATGTATTAAAAGAACATGTAGATACATGTATGTATATTGAAGCTCTTGGAATCTTCCACTATATCAATCTTTTAGGCCCAATCTGATCTATGAAAATATATATTTTTATAATCTATGGAACTACAGATTCATCAAAATATATTTTAATATCATCAGATATTCTATGTATTTCCATGTTTACTTACTATAACAAAAAAACTAACTTTCTTACGACACTTCATATTATACATTTTATAATCATATTTAAATGCGATAGTAAATAATGCACAAACATAATAATTAATAATAGTAAATCTTATAAATATAAATAATAAACTATTTAAACATAATTAAATAATCTGTGAAATTAATATTAAAAATATATTGAACTCAAATACTTATAAAATACTATGCTAATATAAAACATCACCGTGTATAATCTACAACTATCACATTGGAATGTATCACTGAACTTACCATACTCGCAGGACTTTCATCATCATCATCTATTTTCATACGAAAAAGATATTTATTCTGTATCCTTTGTTATTCTTTAAGAAGCAAATAGAAATTGATATCTTTATCAAACACTTATGAAATTCCTATTTTTTAAGTCTTATACTGTATACTTATTATTATTCATCCGCATTATTCAATAACACTTACAATAATCACTCGATACCTATAATACTGATCATATTAAAAATTTCAATTAAATTAAACGTAGTAACTCCTGAGGAAACGACTAATTAGAGCCATTCTAAGCCATCCACCACTTCTCCCAAATTTTGGGTAGAACTTGGTCTGCTCACGTGTTTCATTTCACCAAATATGCCAACAATTTATTGATTCTTTTCGCAACTTACTACGCATTGTTTTGCAAATTCTTTGCTTTTTTCCAACGAGACTGCAGCGCTAGCGCTATGTCGTCTTTGAACGGGTTTTTCCGTTATTTGTTTCGCGTAACCCGCTTCTGGGTCGTTATCTTTCTTATCCTCATCGAATTGCTTCATAATTTCCGTTAGCGTCTTTCCTTTTGTTTCCGGTAAGAAAAGCATACAATACACGGCCCCTAAAATCGCGCATATTGCGAAAAGATATAACGTTCCGTTACTCGTTAGTAATTTTTCTAGCTGAGGATAGGTTTTGATGTTGAAAAATATGAGGACATATGCACAACATGATGTCGCCCCCGACATTACTCCGCGTATGTCTTGAGGATACAACTCCCCTGACATAATCCAGGGTAATTGCAAGAAGCCCACCATACTAAAAGACACGTGAAGTAAAATACACGCGAGTTTCATCAAAGGCGGCCCATTCAAACTGTCGCAAACCGCGGCGCCTAACATCGCGATACCTAGTAAAAGACCTGAAGTGGCGGCTAAAGTCTTTCGTCTGAAACTGTTAATCAAACCAGCCCCGATCGCTCCCATGAATACTCTCACGCCCCCCACTATGATGGATGCTGTGAACTCGTTCACACTTGTGCCAACGGATTTGAAAAAGTCCACCGCGTAGTACAAAATAATATAAATCCCCGACATTTCTTGGAACATGAAGAAGACTATCAGCAACGCGAAGGGTTTTAAGACGCTTTTACGTTTGAACAGTAAAAGTTTCTGTCTAAATGTCATATTCTCATCCAATTTTCGGTCTTTAGTAAACTCCATAAGTTCGGTTTGTGCTGTGTTGTTATTTTGACGTAACCAAAACATCGCGTTGTAAGCTTCCTTCATCTGACCCTTCGATGCTAGCCATAAAGGAGATTCGGGAACGAAGTACATTAAAAATGGAGTTAACAATGAAACTCCAGCGCAAATTGCGGCAACTTTACGCCAATGTATAAAAGCTCCCAAGAAATAAACTATAAATATTCCCGTAGAAACCAATCCTGGTCCTATGGCACTGAGGACTCCCCGTTTTTCAGGCGTGGTTATTTCTGCCACGTATATGTAAGATGCTGTGGACATACCTGAAAGGAAAAATTGATACTTTTTAGATATTAACTCTTTGCTGTAAAGTTTATTTTCAATATAAGTAATAACTTATTACTAGTGTTCGCCCAGTGGTCGAAATTTGTTCGTATTCATTATTGAAAATTTGAGGAACACATATACATGAATAGAATTTACTCATCTAAATAAGAAAACTAACTGATTCCATTTTTTTTAATAATGGCACTAAAGCCTATATCAAATAGAAGATAGCAGAAATAAAAAAAAACGGTGGACAAATAGAGAAGAATCTAAACTGTTTTATCTTTACCTAAATATTGTTACTTTTAAATATATTGAAAATAATATTAAGGGATTAGTTAGAAATACGAATAAAGTTTATCTAAACAGCATTGACACAATCCTTACCTATAGTAAAGCCAGTGATAAACCTGCCCACGCACAGAAAGACGTACGTCTCAGAGAAGGCGATCACGAGCCATCCTATCAGATTTGGCAGCACAATAGACTGCAGGAGCAGACGCCGCCCAACTGCGTCCACCATCATGCCGCCCAGTAACGCTCCGATAGGATTCGATATTACACCTAAACTCGCTGTAACAAGGATAAATAAATATATTTAAAATCAAGCCAAATATTAGTATGCATTATATTTGTAAAATTTACAATAAAAGAAATTACGAATATACTTAATTAATTATATAGGTATGCAAAATAAATGTACACTAAATTATTACAGCAAAAGACGTATTAATCCGAACGGCATAGTGGCAAAAATGCTAGACTCATTACCCCGCTGAATGGTAATGCCGATTCTTTGAGCGAAAAACGAGATAGCTTTCCTGTGACCACTTTTATAAATTAAGTATGTGTTTAAACGTTATTTTTTCATATACACTTACAAATAGTTACAAGTTAATGTCTGAGAGTTTACTCAAAATTGTAATTCTATTTATTATTGAAATTATGAACCATGACCCTCGATTTATATGATAGTAAATAGGTACTATTAGAGAGTATAGAACACGCATCTCAAACTGTGGCTTTGCATCTCATCAATTTATTCAAATGAATCTTATCCATTCTTACTATGCGTTGTATTTAAGTCACAATCAAATCCGCTTAGTTTTTAATTTATATAATGGATTGAATTCAATTAATTATTATCAGGTCAGCTCGAATGCATGTCTGTATTGACATCATAACATCTATACGTGTTTTCGTTAACAATACCATTTGGCGTTTAAATCCATAAAATCTAACAATCTATTTGGTGCAAATGGCCCTTTAAATTTATTTTTATGATTTAGATGTAGTAAATAATATTAATTTTCTTTCACACGCTAAGCGTTTTAATCATTTTCTAAACTAAACACCCCTAATAGCTAAACGTGCCGAGCAATAAACGCTTCAGCTTAGGGACGCTATCAACAACAAACGCGTATCTTGTATTTAAACATTCAATATTGACTTTCTACAAGTAGATATGAGTGTTTACTATGTACTGATTTATAAATGAGAGAAATTAGTGTATGTTTGTTTGTTTGTTGTCATATAGAATATAAAGTATGTGATAAATGTTGTGTTGAATTAAACTACACTGTATTTTTTTTAATAATAAACAATTGTGCTTTCCTACCTTGTGAAAGAAGGATAAGCAAAGAAACCGAAAAACGCACTTAAGCCTTTATAATTATTACTGTAGTACGAGTACATGTTTAGAAATATTGCATAGTAGAATTCATGCTGCCTTCCTTTGGATATTCTAAAATCGTCAAACGTAGGTTAAGGTATTTTGCCTAAATAACTAGTTATAAAGCAGCTTGCTAGTTATAGAGCAGCATATAGAGAGCAGATAATAAAATTCTGAGTCGAATCTGTACATTAAATACTTTTTGGAAAATCTTATTGAGTCATAATTTTCGATACAGCGGCCGAATCTTTAGTTTTTAGAATTTTTGTGTGTCTGTCTGTCTGTGTGTCGGATCACGAGAAAATCACTGTATAGATTTTGATAAAATTTGGTATGATGATATCTGGTTGTCCGGGCCAACATGCGGGAAAATTCAAAATAACTCATCTCTGAAAAATCTATACTAAAAGTTAAAACGTAATTGGGGACGAAAACGAGCGGAACGAGGGTAAGTGGCTGGTATTATATGTATATTGGTTGAACAAAGTTTTGTTTTAAATTATTAATTAAAGTTAATCGTGTTTAGATCAATCACCTATGTCACATATGTATAAATAAAAGTATAACATAAAAAAAAATGTATTTTTTGCTTGAAATCAGACATTCGTGAATGACTTATTCTTTGCGTTATCCATTCAGATACAACAGAGACAAACGTAGCACGTAAATAATTCACGTAGCTGATGGAAATCATATCAATGACTGCAATATACAGATTTGATCTAGATCCCTCATTGTGGCTGTTATAAATGCAATATTTAATGAAGATTATTGTAAAACCTTTGAAAATAGTAATCTATAAGATTAATGTAATGTTATATTAAATAATTAACACGAAATATTTTGTTATAATTCAGGGAAGGGAAATGCCATTAATAGTACAGTTAAAACAGTTTCATACTCGCCTTTTTTCGCAATTTTTCGTATTTTTATGTATATTATACTTGTCGGAATCGATTTTCCAGCTTCAAACGTAAAGAGCTAAGAATGCAGGCTTTATTTACATAGTATGTACAATTAACATGCCTTTTTAACCGACTCCAAAAAGTAGGGTTCTGTGTTCGTCTATATGTATATTTTTAATGTAACTACTCACCGATCCAAGAAGTCTGTTCGTAAGACGCGCTAGGATATTCATGCGTGTACTGTGGGAGCAGTACCGCGGAGAAGCCCTGGCAGAAACCCACCGATATGTTGATGGACTGCGCAGCGAGGGCCGCCAACACCTGTAATGATGTTACGTATATACATACATATTATATTTACACATATGAGATGAATTTACTTTTATTGTAATATTCTATTTTCATCTAAGCAAAGTCCTTTAAAATAACATAAAATACCAAGTTCGCATTGTATTATTATTATTTAGCTCAAAGGAATCTTTAACTTATCAGATGAAGAATAAAATTTTTTTACAAGATTTTTCAATAAGCTGTAAGTTTATGTTTGGTTATGTTAAGTAAACCAATATCGCATTTTATAATAATAAGCGTATCATTGATTCAACACACTGCTATAACAATGGGATGATATGCAGAATCTGTAGCACTTAAAACTGCTACGGATGAAAGAAATACTTTAATACTAAGTAAACGCGTAAAAAAAACAAATGTAACCCACTGGAACCGTACATTTTTTCCGGGGTAAAAAGTATTCTATTTAATGTGCTATTCCAGACTATCTATCTCTGTGCCGTAAATTTTATCCAAATCCGTTCAGTCGTTCTGGTATGATTGAGTAACAAACATCCATCCAAACTTTCGTATTTATAATGTTAATGGGATAATGAAATGATAAAGAAATCAATTGTCATGTGATAAAAAATTGTAAACATATAAAAGATAAAGTAGTTTCTTATTGTCTTGTATTCTAATCTAGACTCAGAGGATGGCTTCTTCACTTTTTACTAAAGCGAACGAGTTTAATTCCCACTCCTCCTTTCTATGAGTTTGAGTTCGAAACTTTTTATACTATTGCCTATGCAATTACAGTAATTTAGTTAAATAATTATAACCGTTACAAAAAATTAACAGTTTTCATAGATTTTGAAGTGTCTCATAAAAAATACACTTTTTGTATGTCAATACAAGTATTTTTTTAAATGGTTATTATTAATATGCTCACTAAAATTAAAATAAACACGTAAAATTACACTTGTGCCCTAAAACACGGAGCATTGACACAAAATTATTTCGAAGCTTGTCTTCTTGCCAATTCTTTCTCCGTTTTTACGTGTTTGCGTGTTTTTTAATAACACATCATGTGAAAAAACGTGACCAGTACACGTGGCAGTAATACATGTGTTTAAATTAATCCTATAGCATTAGAAGCGCTTGAGCGTCTCCTAAGATTACTCTCTTATGTATAATTTCTATTGTACTTTTTGCTGTCGACGTGAAAAAATGCGGGTAATAAGAGGTCGACGGTTCAGTTCACACTTTTTATAACGTTGAGATTGCAATTGTTTTCAAAAGACAAACGCAAATTAATTATTTTAAATGAATCCCATTTACAGTTCGTTCTTCTGACCGATTTCTATGCCGTTTAGCTAACATATATAATGGGAGAGTAAGCGGTGTTTTTCAATTTTACATTATTCAATTTACGAGCCGTATATGGTTATGTTTATACAAAATTAATTATAGGTACTTAATTTTGTATATACATAACCATAACGTATATAATAACTATAAAAAATTATAAATAATTTTGTATAGTATATAGTTTAAAAAGTTATTGATAAGCTACCTACTATCTATATCTTATCAATGACTTTTTAAACTACACTCAATGTATGATATTAAAATAAATAAATACTATAGTAATATTTTAAGCGACTTCTTTTGTTGAAGTTATATTTCTTTTGGCACGTTTCGAAAAAAATATGAGACTAAAATCATTACGATGCGCGCGCACACCGACAGCCAAAAAGCGACATGATGAAGTTAGTTGCATTCCTTTTACAAACAGAGAGCTGTGACATACGGGATGAAATGTTTAGCTGTTTTTGTTCTGTTATGCCAAAGAAGAATAACTTCCTTCTTACGTGCGTACATAAGTACATACACACTTTTTTTTTACTTTAGCGAATTCTTTAACGTCTTTTGGCATAAACAATGACTTAATCTTTTTTTGCACAAGAGATTGCGAACACGGCGTACTTTACCGCCAAGAGTATAATTTCGAGTAATTACCAATTATGTACTAGATTTTTAAATTAGATTTATATCCTCGTCTTTTACAGTCATATCTTTACATCTCGTCCAAACTTCGTTCCCAATTGATATTGTATGACAGCGCTATCACTATCTATATTGGAAGTGTAATTATATGTATTTACACTTTTGTTTTATTAAGTAACTAAGCGTTATCACTTTCAAATATTTTGATTTTTACAAAATATCAATATTACAAATAAAACTAATAAAAAACTTAGGACTCTTCTTCTTCTTACTTCTATTTATACTTCTATTTATAGATGTTATATCATACAAGAAATTTGAAAAGCATATTGTTTTAATATCAACTTGATTGAAGCGGTTTATTAATGTACGAAAACTCCATTTAATTATATGAATAATATTATGTATAATAGAATATAACATGAAAATTTTCCATTTTACGCGAAATGTGTGTTCAGACAGTCGTGCAAAACGTTAGAGCGCTCATTTATATAATAATCGCACCTAACCACCGGAACGCACCACGCGATTGTGATGATAAACAGTGATTATACAAGATGACGAGGAAAATGCACCGCGACGCTATTTACTTTTATTTGACACGAACTCTACATGCTATCTATATTGTTAGCTTTACCGAAATGTGATTTTTCCAAAATACAGTAGATATTTAAAATTATATAACTAAGTACATATTTTACAGTAAATTTGATCATTATGATGATATGATGTATTTATGCATGATTAAAATACATTAATCGAATAATTTTTCAAAGCAATTATTTTTACTCGACGAATATAACACGATGTTCTCTTGACCGATTCCGGCCACGGCGGCCAATCTCATTGAGACTAACCATCTGCGCAGGAGATATTATAGTGCTCAAGTGTACGCGCAGACACAACGTGCATTCCCTATTCCTGTCACTCTCAAACTCCGGTGGGACGACTACTTGACACGACCAGTGAGAGTTAAGGCGCAGGACCGACGGCCTTACATGCTCTCCGAGGCACGGGAGTGAACCACCGCCAACTTACCAACTCCGGGCTGTTACTGAGGCTACTATACAGAAAGACTCAATAACTAAACTTGGCCCGAAACCGGACTCGAACCCAGGACCTCCGGGTATGCAGCCGTACATACTAGCCACTACACCGCCGAGACAGTTGTATTGAATATAATATATAAACAAGAGGATTGAAGATGTTGTATTAACATCACATACTTATATTAAAATTACAGGAAATGATAATTTTCATCTAAATACACCATATTAACAATAATAGCTTCATAATGCTATACACGGTGCCATAAAGTATTTTGACGTGAAACATCTCTAAAATTACACCGAAACATACGGTCAGGAAAGTGGACCGTAACGAGATAGGTTGCATTAAGTTGTCATATAGTAATCGTTGTTATTGTCTGAAAAATGATATATATATGATATTTTTCCGTTGCTGTCTTCAAATATTACTATATTATACTAAATTGTTGTTTAATATTAATCGAAAGTACTTAATATACACTACCTATTTAGTGTCAGTAAAGTATTAAATTAGAACGAAGTCAGTTTTGTTTTCATTCCAGTCTTTAACACTAAAAGTGACTCGCTGAAATAGACGTTTTACGTTGTGTCCCGACACAGCCCCACCCGATTTTTTCCTTGATTATTAAATAACAGTGGAAATGCGAAAAATATGACAAAACTTAGCATTTTTATTCTTTAAAAATCTGCACTACTCACAGTGAGATTGACTCCGATATATGTAGTTGAAATGTGTGTGTTTAAACTAGTTCTCGACGTATGCATCCCAGTGCGTTTGTATGGAGACTGCGTTTCGTTGGGGCAGGGCGACCGAGAATGCAGCTAAGGTTATGGTTTTAATATGAAGTTAAATGTACTAAAAGTGACTTTACTTTAAGAAAATTATTTAGAAAAGTTTAATGATATTTTCTGATTAATCTGATGGAAGATTCTTCATAAAAAAATTGTTTCGGCGTAAATTATTATTGTTAATATAACGATATGAACGATAATATAAAAATTAAATTCATAATACGAATATATTTATGACATTTAAAATAAAACTTTATTTTCGGTTTTTTTCGCGGATTTATTATGATTTTTGGTTCCTGACGCGACGTTTCGAATGCTTTACAGCAATCATGATCATGAGACAGACTAAGAAGAAGTTTTAGACGTCGCAAAGTCTCAAAATTATATGTTTGCTTAAGACAAACAATACTAAATTCATTTAAAAATAGAAGAAAATATAAAACATTTCTTTGCACTTATTTTCCTGATTTGTTTTTTTTTGCATAGTACTTATTGATTGACAGTTGAAAGCGAAGAGCTTTCAAAACAATGAGCCACTTAGGTCTTTTATATTGTTTCTAAGTAATTATACGTCGATATTTCATTTTATAACGTCAAGACGTTTTCTACTATTTCCACATCTAGTTTCTTTAAATCAGCTCTACAAAGGCAAGTGAATGTAAGGCCATATTTTTTTTTTATCAAGTGGCATTTCTATATATTACCATTATATGACATTGTTTTAATTTAAACGAGCAACATTATGTGTTACCCTATGTTATCAAATTTATTTAAAAAAATTTATTAAATAAAAAATTAAATTTTACATACATATATGTATACGAGTATGGGTATAGGTCAAGAGATAAATCTTTTATTTATTGACACAAACTTAATCGATTTTTGTTTTCTTATTTTCTTTAACTAAATATGCTATCGGTAGTCAAACTCTTCTCAGCAGAACTGCCTTCCGAGCCGGTGGTAGATTACTCACTGACTTCCTGACATTTAGTATAAATTTTTAAAAAATACTTATTAAAGTCTATTTGAATAAAATATATTTAAATAAAGTGCATTAGTTTGATTTGATTTGAATTATAATTATAGTTAAGCTCTTACATGTTTGTAAACAAAATTATCAATGCAATCTTAAAAATGTTCTGAAAGCTCGATATTAAATATCAAACCAAAGTTAACCGGAAGTAAACCAGCTCAGGCAAA